TAATAATACTCACACATTACTGCAAACTAACTGGCTTTATAATGGGGATAAATCAGCTACCCATGCTGCTAGAGTCATAATCACTATGATTTTTTTTGTCTCCGTTACACTGGATGATCTGTGAGAAAAGAGAAATATTTCATTCAACTTTTATTCTTGTATTTATGGTGCATATTATGATACATAAAAATAGATATTCTTCAATTAAAAAGATGAGTTATAGCTCAGGAAATAAAATTAAGGAACTTGTTTCTTTTGCAGGACAGGGGCAATTACTTGAGATTTTAACTTTCCAAACTGAAATATACAAGGACCAAGTCGTGGGGAGGGGAAATTACTTTTTTTAAATCTAACTGAGCCTACTAAAAAGCACACTGAATACCTCACCAAACAAAAACAAAGGCAAACTAGAAAGAGTAGACTGTTGCACCTAAGATTCCCTTAATATTTAAAAGGAAACTCCCCGTGTCCTACTACTTTTCTTTTGTCTATTGTCTCCTTAAAGAAACTACTTTCAAGCAAAGCGTGAGCAATGTTCAAAAGTGCTTTGGAGAAACTCTCCAATTTATTGCCTACCCAGACCGTCCCATAAGCCCGATGTCTCCCCAGGACTGCCCCCATTCTCAGTTTAAGAGGGTGTCAAACGCTTCAGGAGAGAGTGCCCCTTATGCAATACCATCAAGGGAAAAAAATGAATGCAGTATAATGATGGCTGCTCCTTCTCCCCGAGACCCACTCACAACACTCTCCCCCACCCCCCTCATCAACTCCCCCCGCCAACATCCACCCCTCCAGCGTCCGCTTCTCACTTCCACCAGCCCAGCGCCCGGCACCAACGCACCCAGCCCGACAGAAACCAAGCCCCGCGTCTTCGGCTCAATCAAACCTAAACAGACACACACTCCCTGACCGCCTGGCCTCAAACCACCTTTTCCGCTCACCCTCAAAATGGCCTTGGTTTCGGGAAGGGAGGGGGAAACTATGGACACCGGAGAAAGCTTCTCGGCGACCCGCTTCTGACCAGGGAAGAAGAGACAGAAGCGCGCAGGCGAAAGGTGGCGATGTTTGGCGGCGGGGGAGGGGGGAGGAGAGAAAGACATACACGGAGAGAGAGAAAGGGAAGCAGACTTGGTCCGCGGGGTTAAGTCTCTATTATGTTGTTGTTGCTGCTGCTGCTGCTGCCGCCAGCCCGCTTAGACAGCGTCTCTCTCTCTCTCTCTTTCTCCCCCCCCCACCTTCTTCTGTCCCTCCCTCTCCCGCCGCCCCCCCCTCAGTTTTCTTCTTGGGTTGTTAGGAAACAGTAGGGAACCCCTCCCCGCACCGTCCCCCGCGTGTGACTCCCGTTTCACTCCCACCGCCAACCTCCCCGCTCCTCTTCAGAGAAGACAAATAACCCCGGCGCAACCTCGTGCCTCTCCTCCACCCACCCACCCACCCACCCCCCGCGCCACCATCACCTCCATTTCCTTCGGCTCCCTCGCGCTCCCTCTCCTCTTTCTCTCCTTCACTTCTCCCCTCCGCCTCCAACGGCTCCATGTGTCCGCGCGATGAGCCCCCGGATCAGGCTAGCGGGAGGCGGGGAGGGCCGCCCCCCCGCACTTTGTTAGCGCTTGTTGTGCTGCCAGGGCCAGGAGCGCTCGGCATGGCCAGCAGGGCGGAGGGAGAGCGTTCCCGGGAGTCCCTCGGTCCTCCTCCGCCGCTCCCCCCCCCCCGCGCCCCCTTCGATTCCACAGCCAACCCCGCTTCTCCCGCTGCCTTCAAGGAGACTTTCATCCAACTTTTCCTCCTATTTTAATCGCCTTCCAAACTTGCGCTCGGGGAAAGCACCGGGGGAGGGGGGGAGGGAGGGAAGAAGAGATCAGAAAGAGAAGCGCCGCCGGAGTCGCTCCGGCTCCCGCTCTCCGGTGAGCTCGCTTCCTCCTCCTTCCTTTCTTTCGCCTTCCCCACCCCCTCCACCCCCCCACATCCTGGAAAGCTCCTCGGCCGGGGATGCACATGGACCAGAGAGCAGCACCGGCGGAAACCGGGCGAGGATCCGCGCACGCACACACTGGCTCCATTGCTCTCCTTACCCCTCCCCCGACCTGCTGTGGGGCCCGGTCAGCCGGGCAGCAGCTCCAGAGCCGGTGCGCCGTTGCCCTCCGGCTCGCCCCGATTCTCAAGGCGAGGTCACTTACCGGGTCGGGATGGGCTTGGCGCCGTCTTCGGAAGCGGAGCAGGGGGGTGAGGAGAGCCGGGGCGCCCGGGAGCACCTCTTCCCCGCAAACAAACAAACAAACAAACAAGCGCGGAGAGAAGAGACCCACACAGGCGCACACGCACCGGGAGTTGGTTTCGGCCGGGCAATCAAAGCGAGGCGGGCGGATACCCCTGATCCGGGCCGGCCAGGGGGGTCACTGAGGGTCCTCGAGGTTTCCACCGGGTCCCGGGTCCGCTTCCCTCCTTTGTGTAATTTCACTCGATTCAAGTTTAATCCGATAGTTCCCGAGCGCGTCCGCAGAAGCCGAGCGACACACCAGCCAGCCAGGCGGCTGCCGCTGCTACCGCCCCCTGCCTGTCCGCTCGCTGGCTCCCTCCGCCCGACACGAGGCGCGCCCCCGACGCCACTATCCACCCTCCTTCCCGTGGGCGAGCGGGAGGGAGGAAAGAGCGCGCACTCCCCAGGCCCCGCCCATTAACGTCATCAACTGCTGGCATAATTTATGCAAGAATCCAGACCTCCTAAAAAGCGGAGGGGGAAGGGGTCAGGTCACTAACCTTCCCCCCTCCCCTCCCTCCGCGGTGGCCTTTTCAGTCCGAGAGGAAGCTCCTCCCATCCTCTCCCGGGAAAGGAGGACTCCGGAAAGATGTGTAGTGGGGGAGGGGACGTCAAATGTTGACAGGGCGCTCTGGGGACACAAGCGCTCAGACAAGTCAACACCCGGCTCTCAGCTCTCCCATCGCTCCCTCCTTCCTTCCCTCCCGCCCATCGAGGAGAGGAAAGAGGAGGGCGATTTTAACGTGCCGCTACAGAAGCGGCAGCGGCGCCCTTCCTTATCTACTTGCCCCGCGGGCTATTGCCCGAGAACCCCGAAGGGAAAGGCGACATTTGCCGGAGTCCTCGTGGCCTCCAGCAGACGCAACGTTAAGCTGCCCACACAGGACCCGCTTCGGCCGGCTGTTTGCGACTGCTGCGACTGCTCTTCTTGGCTTGGAAAAGTTTTCCGACCTTCACGAGCAGGGAAACTTGTTTGTCGACGATCAAGTTTGGGAAAGAAAAAAGAAAGGCACCTGCCATTAAGAGCCTCTCGCAAATCTTGAATTTTCCGCTTCAGCGAGGAGCCGGTTTCTGGGATTCCGTCTGTTAACAGCGGAGTCGCAGGATCCCTCAACCCGGGAGGGCGATTTCTCCCGTGAGCGGATCCTCGGGGCTGATCCAGTCTGATCTCTGTGCGATATATGGGTCATCGTGATCAAGTTTATAGGGATTGTAGTCTACCAAATCTAGTGATTTTCTTTTCAAGAAACACGAGGTCTTGGATGTACTCTTTCCAGGTTACATTGGTACAGTATGTCCAGTAAATACTAGAAGACAGGATGCAGGGTGATGTGAATCTGTCAAAAATTATCATGGGAGTCTTGCCCAAATACCCGCAGTGAATTCCATAAGACAAATGGCCACATGCTGAAGGGCATCTTCTTTTTCCATTATGGCTCCCAAGAGAACAGGGGGAGAAATTCTACACATCCCCTTAATTGTAAAGACTATGAAATGTTAAACTCTATTAGTATGTGGATTGAAGTAGAGAAGCACAAGCATTGCCAGGGTACCACTATTCTCAAACTAAAAATACTGAAAGGGAATCCTTTTGATTTACTTTTGTGAGATGTCTGAATGTGTTTATAATTATACAGGTCAAAACTTAACATTTTTAGAGTTTATTTAGAAGTTATTAGAGTATGCCTTCAGAAGTTAGAGTGAAATGGGATACCCAAGTTAACAGACATGAATCCAGACGAATATTGTGGTTAAGTCACTGACCACTTTCTTCCAAGTTCACTGTGTCTGAATTACCAAAATCCATGTTTGCTAGCTGTCATTCCTACCATCCACTGTTATTTTTCTGATAAGAGTTTAATTCATGATTTAGTTCACAATTTTTGTATGTGAAACTGGCAGAGTAACAGGTGCACATTTAAAATATCTTTCTCAATTGTTAGAAGCACCTGCTCTGTGAGTAATACACTGAAGATGGTGTCTGATATCAGATTAGAACATTGGTCCACCTAACTCAAGTTGAGCTGGCCTGCAAGATTTCTATACATTTTTCAATTCTACTTATGCATGAAAATACAGGAACCTTCTTTTTTAATACTGTAATACTGATAACACAGGTTGACTATGTGGCTGAGGCTTTGAATGTTGGAAGTTTACCAGTTTAGCTGTTGCATGGTCCACATGTAACTTTAGATTTTAAGATACATTCAGAGTAAAAATGCTCAGTAAAATAGCAAAATGCTAATAAACAATAAAGCAGTTTGACGTACCCAGCTGTTCTATTTGCTTCAATCTAATCAAAAAAAGTATGTAAATCACCAAGAATTTGTGAAAAGTAGGATGAGGAAAGAGACAGGATTAAAGTATAGAGACTCATAGAAACTTGGTCTGGGACTATCTCTTGGCTTTGCTAGGTGTCCAGACCATATGAGTATTGAAGGTATTGACTAATTGTTTGTCTATTATCTTTGAGAAAATTAGACAATAGGTGAAAATGCTAGATCATTATAAATGTATTTACATTATTCCTATTTTCAAAAATGGAGAAAAGGACGTTACATGGAATTACTAACCAATTTGACATCAATACTTCAGATGTTTTCATACAAATTATAAAGCAGTACCATGAACATCTTAAAAACAATGTAATTACCAGAATTATATATTTCTGAAAAACAAGCTTTGTGAAAATGATCATTGTGGAAACAATATGCATTTAATATATCTTTACTTCAGCAAAGCATTTAAAAAGTATCCAATGAATTCTGAGCAACAAGTTAGTTAAGTGTAGACAAGGTGCATGATGAAAGGAAAAACATAACTTAATAATATTCAAAGAATGTTCATCAATGGTTGTTCATCAAATTAGAGAGGTACAATAAAGTTCAAATAACTTATTTAAATATTTTTATTATGATTTGGACTAAGAAATGGGGGAATCCTTATCACATTTTAGATAACACAAAATTGGATGGAGCAACTAATACTGAGGGGTCCTTGGGGCTTTCTTGAGCTTGGTTGTTTTCTTGCAGAGCAATAATGATGTAATGTAATTTGGGTAATGAAATGTCTGTAAGAAAATAACCAAGCTCAGAGAGTATCAAAGACCCTTCATTTCAATCCTAAATTACAAATATTGTCCTTTATTGGTACAGCTAATACTCTAGAAGACAGAAATAACCTTCATAAGAAACAAATCTATTACACAGATCCACTTTATTCTGCACTAATCAGATCCTATGACTACTAAGTCAATTTCTGAGTATTGCACAAGAAACATTTAGACAAACTAGGATATAATCAGAGAAGTGCAACAAAAATGATCAGCGACTAGAAACTAAAACCTATAAAGAGAAGTTGAAGAAGCTGGATGTTTAGCTTTGAGAAAGGAGAACTGAAGAGAGGTGTGATAATATTCTTCAAATATATGAAGAAAAACCATGTTCTCAATAATTTCAGAATTTGTCATAGAATAACAGAAAGGCAAATTTCATATGAAGTTTAGGGGAAATGAACAATTTGACTAGGGAGATGGTAAGCTCTTCTTCACTGAATGAGCAAAAGTAGAGAAGCTAATGGTCAGTCTGCTGGGAATGCTTTAATTTAGATTGAGAAGAGAAATGGGTAAATGGCCTAAATATTTCTATGATTCTATATTTAGAACACTATGGAATTTACTTTGATATGTTTGTATTGCTATCTTTTTATAATGTTTTAAACTGTTAGTTGCCCAGATTCATGAATTTGAGGTGGGCATTCATATACATTTGAACAATAAATGAATTCAAACAATCACAATTCAAAGTAAAATCTTAACACAAGCATACTTTGGAAGAGTTAGGAAAAAAAGCTCTGTACATTTTTATTGATTGAATGAATTTATTTGCCGCCTATCTTGCAGCAAACTTAGATTCCAGTTTAAGGAGGCATCTGGTATTTTTTTGTACTTTTCAAGAAACCTAATAAATACAAAGTTGGAAACATACTTATCTTAAAACAATCAAGTCCTTTTATTTTGTCTAAATGGTATACAGTAAAAACATATATTTTATATCTGCAGATAAAAGACTCACTTCAATCTTATAGAATTTCTTATAAGTTAGAAACAAAAGTCTCCAACAAGAGTTGAAAAAAATTATTTACCATACTAGGGAAAAATTAAACCAATTTGAAATTATTAGAACATGTAGGTTCCATTGGGCAAGTATTGGTGAATAATTGATATACATGCAATTGAAATCTCATTTACAAAAGATGTTATCCAAATTCATTAATGGAAAAGAATTTGGACACAATGTAAACCCCCCACCAAAAATATTCAAAGATTTATTCAAATAACTTTTCCCCAAACTGGTTTTCTCCATTAGTCAAAATTATACTATCTAAATATTTTGTGTAGGTAGCAGGATTTAATTTTTTGTTATGGCCTGTCAGAAGATTGTGAGATGAGACCAGTACATATGTAAGATAGAGGCAACTAAACTATAGATAGTCCTCATTTAACAACCACAATTGGGACTAGCAAATTGATTAATTGAAGCAGTTACTAAGAGAAACCGTGACTGTACTTATGGTCTTACTTCAGTTTTCCTTTGCTTTACAGGCCTGCAAAGGCCATAAATGATTAGTCATAAAGTTCATTTTTCATCACTACTGTAACTTCAAATGGTCATTAAAATGGTTATTAAATAAGGACTACCTGTATAGGCAATTTGTCATGGATATGGATTTCACATTAATGTGTGATGATCCTATTTATTGATTACTGAAACCTAAGATGGCTGGAAGCTATAAATAGTCAAAAATAGTTAGCAAAATAGTGTTCAAGTACAAACATTCAATCACACAGCAAGTGTAACAAACAATGGTGAACACAGAACCCCTGAAGACCAATTTCTTTAATTTTTTTAAGTATTGAAGTTACAGTTGATTACCTTGAGTATGAAAGGCCAGCCATGTTTTTCCTTTCATTCAATCATATCTGAGTCTCAAAGACTGCCTGAGCAAATCCCTGCAGTTTTCTTGACAAGGTTTTTCAGAAGTGGTTTGCCATTGCCTTTTTCATAAGACTAAAAGAAAATTACTGGCCCAAGGTTACTCAACTCTCTTCATGCCTAAGGCAGGATGAGAACTCACAGTACCTGGTTTCTAGCCTGATGCCTTAACCACTAACCAAACTGGGTCTTGCGCTAGGCATTAGGCCACTAGTAAATAGTGGGAGGAACAGCACACTATTTTCTTCCTGATAGAAAAGCAAGACAAATGTAATAAACAATGAATTAGGAATCTCAATGCAATACAGATATTCCTCAACTTATGATCACAGTAGAACCCAAAATTTCCATTGCTAAGCAAGACGGTTATAAGTGAATTTTGTCCCATTTTATGAACTTGCTTGCTACAGTTGTTAAGTGATTCAATGCAGTTATTAAGTTAGTAACATGGTTATTAAGTGAACCTGGCTACCCATTGACTTTGTTTGACAGAGGGTTGCAAAAGGTGATCACATGACCACAGGACACGACAACTGTCATAAATACATAGCAGTTGCCAAGCATGCAACTTTTGATTACATGACCATGGGAATTCTGCAACAGTTGTAAGTGTAGTCATCGATCACCTTTTTCAATGCCATTGTAACCTTGAACAGTCACTAAATGAATGGTTGTAAATCCAGGACTACCTGCATATATTGTACTGCAGTGCAATACAGTACTGCATAATTTTTATTTTTCAAATTTACATGGCTGCCCATTTTATAAAACAAATTATTTTGGGAAATGTACAACAATCTAAAAAACAGTTAATAATAATCAAAAAAGGCAGCTTTACTTGGAATAACTTATATCCTGCAACAAGACCACTATCAAACATGAACATCTGCCTATCCCAGATCCTTGAAAAGGCCTCGATAGATGGATAAAAATGCCAATTTCAGTCTGAGTATCTGGCTGACTGTGCATCAAACCATAAACACCATCTGAAACAGGATTGCTGTTCAGCCCTGTCCATATATACAGCCAAGATATTGCAATGGAGTTTGGACTGCATGCTTACCATCAAATGGGGAAAAATAGTGATGTCAAGATGCCCTATGGAAATAAAAAGACATCAAGATGCCATTTGGAAATAACATTAAGAGTCTGTATGAAGATCACTAAAAATACTTGAGCATCCTTCAAGGTGACAACATCAAGCATACTGAAATCAAATGAATACATCAAGAGAGTGAGAAAGATCTTAAAGTCCAAACTAATGGAACCAATACCATCAAGACAATTTACACCTGGCAATTCCAGTCATTATACACATCTGGAATAGTGAAATGGACTCAAGCATAACTAAAAGCCCTGGATAGGAAGACTAGGGAAATAATAATAATGAGTCACGCCCTTCATCCATGCAGCAATGTTGTCAGACTCTACTATCAAGGAAAATAAGTGGGAGTGTAATGTTGCAAGTACATCAGATGGTTAAAGAAGAAAAAAGACCTTTGGGAGAATACCTGAACAACAGTGGAGATGCACTGAAGCTAGAACACCAGGAAGGCCTACTGAGTACCCGAGAGACCAAACTGGCCTACAAAAAAAAGACCAAATGAAGAACAGAAAAGAGGCACAGGAAGACAAAGCATACAAAGCCAGAGACAAAATTATTGAGAAAACAGCAACAGATAGCAAGTGCTACCTCTGCAAAGAATCTAAAGAAACAGTGGATTAACCTGGTTTAGCTGCTGTAAGAAGATTGCACAGACTGATACAAACAACCCCATGACAAAGTAGCAACAGTGGTGCATTGGAAGATCCTCAAGAAATGCTATTTATCTTCAAGCAAGAATGGATGGGAACATAAAATAGAGAAAGAAATAGAAAATGAAGGAGCTAAAGCGCACTGGGACTTTAGAATTCAAACAAAAAGCATCTGCCACATAATAGGCACCCACAAGTTTTGTCAATTGTCAATAAGACAAAAAAGTGGATTGTAGATGTGGCGACCTCAGAAAAGAAAGAACTGCAGAAGATAACAAAATACAGTCCCTCAAACAACCCAGTCCCATGCCATTTAGGCATATAAAGGCGAACACCAGCACCTTGAATTGGATTCTGAAACAAACTGGTAACCAACAAAGCTCACAGAGCAGAAGTGTAACATATTTTATTTTTATTTTATATTTTAAATGCTTGCACCACTGCACTGCACCAGCTGAAGTTTCCAAACACTCTTCAAAGGCAGCTCCACATAGAGTGCATTGCAATAGTCCAATCAGGAGATCACATGGGAATGAGTGACCACTGTAGGATCCCTCAATCTGGGAATAATAAGATAATGCATATACAAAAAATATATTCTGTAGTGCAATAAGAGTGTTTTAAGCATTAGTTACACTTTTATTTAGTTACAATAAATTTCCTGTTAAGACACATCAGCAATTAATAAGATAAATATGTCCAGCAATTATTTTTCAGATAAGTGCCTAAATTCATTGATTTCCAATAGATTAAGAAGCTTAACTAATATGTATACCTCATATATCAAGAATCCATGAATACGTATTTTAATATGTGCTTCTTACAATGGTCACACAAACTAGCTTTTGGCTTATGATGTCTGAGTATGGCTATAGTTTTTGCTAAACATGGGTATTCCACATATTTCTATGCTGTGAATTCCACATCTATTGCCCCAGTTCACACTAACATGTGAGTCTTTTAAGTACATGTCACAATTCAATCTGTACTATTCCACTCACCTCTTTTTTTTCCATTTCTTGCAGTTTAGTGTCCTTTTCAAATAAGTATTTTCAAATTGTTTTGCCATTCTGCACTGCCATCAGAAATTCCTTAGCGCAAGTCATTATTACGATCCATGCATTTTAGATTTTCAGGATATGCCTTACAGCAGGTCATGACACATGTCCATATATATTCAGAGAGTTAATATATAACCTCTCCCTACCCCTAAATGGCTTCTAATTTCTAACATAATGCTATACATGTGGATGACCAGAAATGGGCATGAATCCACATTTCTCTTCTCTTGTGGCAAGTATACAAAGATACTGATATTTTGGTTTAGTCTTCAGATGCATGCTGTTCAGGAATTCCAGCATTCACTGGTAACCAGCACTTAATAAAACAGACTCTTTTGAATGTATAGCAGAAACTTCTTTAGGGATGAAGTAGTAAGAAGCTGCCAGATTGATCTGTTATTATGGAATAAAACATTTCATGAAATACAATTTCTTAATGGCCACAGATACTGCAGTAGATTACATATTAGAAAATTTAAAAAAAATGATTTTCAAAAGGTTAAATTTGTACTCTATATATATTATTGTATTAGTCATTTGATCAATTACAGCCCTCTGCAAACTATAATTTGGATCTGAAGGAAAGAAGGAAAGAATATTTCCACAGTAAACAATGTCAGTTCATAAATATAAAAGAATGGATTGGCCATTATACTACCCACAATATTATCCATGGAAAGGATGCAACATTACTGATTTTCCCATAACATCTAATAACATACTGTATGTTCTGAGAATTATATGAAATTACTGCATGAATATAAAATTATATTAGAGAATGTCATCATTAAACTGAAAATGTATCATTTCATTGTCTGCTACGTTATCAGTTAGGATCTGTTAGATAATATTTCCTCTTAATTCAACATTTTTCACCCTCATATTTCACCTGAATTCAGACCTCTGAAATTTCAATGTGATAAATCATATAACAGCAATAAATGTATTAAAGATTGATTAAAAGCCTCTTGTATTATAAAACCACTCAAGAGTTGTTCTGTAAGATCGTACAAGTCTCAAAAAATATTTTTCAACCATGACCTTAGTAATGAGAAATTAATTTGTTTCAATGTAACAGAACACAATATAAACATATGAGGTCACTGAGACTTGCTTTTAGAAAAATAAGAAATAAATCTTAGAGGTTCAAACCAAGATATCAAATATAATGCAATCCAAGAGCTTATTGCTCAAGAGAAAGGGTGTAAGATTATTTAAGACCAGGAGAAATATTATCTTGCCCAACTGGCAACATATTGATAGCATCACTAAATGCCAACTGAAATTAAATGTTTATCAGTACATAAAGTGCTTAACTATGTGAAATTTTAGGTATGAGCCTACATACTTCTGAGATATTAGAAAAAAATATTTGCCCATTAAATGCATACATAAATTTGTTAATTAAGCAGATATGGGGAGAGGGAGGACAAACACTAATATTTAGCAACAAAATCCTATATTCTTTTGATGCTGATCATTTTTTAATTTTAATTAATTTGGAAATTTTTTAGCATAGTCTATATTTTCATATATTATAGCAGGTTATTCAGAACTGAATGTTTGATAGTTGTCTTGACTTCAAATTATTTTCTGGGGGAGGGGAGAGAAGCCCCCTTTTTCATTCAAGGTAAGTTCTTAAATAATTAATATTATTTTGAAAAGAGAAGAGATAAGCTAAATACAACCAGAATTGAGGCATGATTCCTGATGAGATATTTGGAGAGACTTTTACCAAGACAAATACATTCCCATGTCAAAAAAAGAAGGGAAGGCACGTGAGAAGAGTGAGAGGTCACAAAAAGCATCAGGTTCCAGTTAAAATATGTATCAGGAAAAGGGATTTTAATTGAACAATATTTTACTAAGGTGAACTTCTGACAATCACATTCATTATTTGTGTTTTAGTGACGGATCTTTATTAAGGATAGAAATCAAACATACAACAGTCTCAATTAAATTCCAAAAATACAGTAATCATAACCCTGAAAACAATAGATCCACTTTATAAAAAAAAATAAAAAAGCAGAAACAAGGTGAGTTTGTTCATGGGCAATTTGGTTTAATCACTGTCTAAATGATTAAACATATAAGATGCTTATGAAACAGGATAAGAAACTGTCTTCAGTGTTTTTGTAATGTCACTAACATGAGTCAGGGCAGCATGCAAGCTTGTGATAGAAACCTGTCTGTTCTGCATTTCCTTGTGTTTAGGAAACCAGCATACATAATTCAATGTTAATTTTTCACTGCTAAATAGTTCTGAAAAAAGGATTTCACTATTTCAGAACCCCTTTATGCGGAATATTAAGCAATATCCTTATGCTTCATGCATATTTTGGCTATGCATATTTAAGATTCTTTTATAGATAATGGAATAGCATGTTTGAGGAAGCATAAGCATGAGTAAGAAGTACTTTGCTGGAACTAGTCTGAAAACTAGCTTAGGGTTGTGACACACAAACTTCCTGAAAATGGAGGCTTTACCAAGTTGAAAAGATCTTCAGTGAATCACTGGAGCTCATTGCAAAATCTTAAACAACGCAAATGCTTGTGCAACTTGCCAGTAGTCCTGAGTACAAGTTTTGTAGAGTTTGCTTGCCCATATTGAATACAAGTATGGAATTGTAATAGCCGCCTCAACTTCAGCTTCCATTTATACCACAGTGACTAATTCAAGGCCGTAGGAGGAACAAAACAAAATTATCCGAAGCTAGCGAAATAAAATGGCTCGTTCTTGAAAAACAGGTTCTCTTTGGGAAGATTTTCTGGAAACGTAAATAAAGACTTCCCGATGACAGATAAGAGAGTCTTTGCTTTAAACAAGAAAGAACTTTATAATCTGCAAAAAAAACAGGTTGAAATGAGAACATTTCTCCCATTAAGCCTGTAAAGCTTGTTCTACACCTAGAATCCTCCCAAGTGCACGGGGGCCGCAGTCTCCGATGCCCCCCCACCCACCCAAATCGCTTGAAACCACCGGGTCGGGTGGCTCGCAAATGCCCCCCGCCCTTCGTCTTCTCCCAGCCCATCCCTAACCAAAACGGCCCCTCCTAACTTCCGCTGTCCCAGGTTCCTTTGACCCATCCACAGCTACCTTCCCACCTGCTTGGACTCTTCCCCTCTACACTTTCCCCTCACGCACATACATACATAGACGCACACAACCGGCATCGCTGCCGCGCGTCTTTTCTTTTCTGGAAACTCTCGAGCCTCCACAGCCGAAGGGCATCCTGTCTGCCCGCCCCGTTTCCGTTCATGACACACACCTATTGCGGAGCGCTAGTCTTTCTTCTCCCGGGATTCCATTTCCCCGGCCCCGTTGTTCCTCTCCGTTTCTTTACGTCACAGTCTCAGGGTTTTCCTTTTCCCTGACGGCACTTTTCCCTCACCGCGCCATTGGTTGTGACCCTGAGCCAATAGAAGGAGATAAACCCCTCCCCCCCCACCTCCTTTAACTGACTGTGCCGGTCGGGTCAGGCGCGGCACGGACAGATTTCCTCAAGTCCCTGGGGATTGGGCGTCAGTTCAAAAGGGGGCGTGGCAAGGGACGGGCGGGGGAGGGAAACTCTCAACGCCCCAGGTGGTTCTGGGCTTGTCCTGTGAATCCGTGAGGAGGAGCTGGGCGGATTTAAAAGGGTAGGGCGGGCGCGGCTTGAAGGGCTTTGTGGAGAGACGGCTGATGTTTGTGGAGAACAATGAGCCGAGCTCCAGGGCCGCCTCTAGGACTACCGAATTTCCACATTAATTTTTCAGGCGCGAAACGGCAAACTGCAGCATCACCGCGAAATCAAGCGGGCACAAGCGCCCCGACGGCGGGCTTCCCACCCCAGAACGCGCACAAGTTGCTTCCGACCTCTCCGCCTCCGCTTGGGGATCCCCTGCAGGAAGCAGCAAATGCTCGGCGTTTATGATCTGCTGTTCCGCCACTCGGGGGAAGCTTACGCCGCCTAATGCAGGCGCATAAACCCTCGGTCTTCTCCCACTTCTTTGATGATCCACACAGGAAACCTCATCAGAAGCCCGTTCAGGAAATGGAGACCCCCCTTCCTCCATCAATATCACAGGCGAGGGCAGGGAGTCGCCCCCGCAAGGCAGCCGTCGGTGCCCTGAGTAGTTCGCCCACAGGAAGTGAGAAAACCCTTCATGTTGGCCGTCAGCGTTTCCCACAGGAAACTCGAAGTCTCTCACAAAAGAGCTCAGCGTTAACTGCTCACAGGGCTGTTACAATCATTTTATTTACTTGCGCGGCTCGCCCGGAGTCTTCTTTATTCGTAAACGGGAACCAAAGAATTACCGTAGCTAAGTAGAAAAGAAATTTACAGCGAGTTTGCATTGCCTTCAGATGGCCAGCAACCGTGAAAAGGATCGTTTCTGCTCCGTTTTGCAACGAAGGAAAGGAGTTGAGCTGGGAAGCGTTTGAAGAATTATCTCAACACCCCCCCCCCCTCAAAGTGGCGTTAATTCTGCAGATTTTTTCCACCTTTCCCTCTTTCAAATTCAATTATTGAATTAAATTCCGGAGAAACACTGCTCCCCTAAAGTGAACTTTTTGCACTGCAAGATGAGTTTCTCATTAATATCGAGTATTCTTGCGGGTTTAAATGAGGTTTGTTTCATGTCTAAAGTGGAGTAAATTCCCAGAACAAGGAGAAATGCTTTTGTACGGCTACCCTATACGGACTGCAAACATTCCCACGTCTGCCAGACACAGCAGAGTTTTTTTTCCCTTATCCGTCGGCTTCCATCTAGTGGAAATGGCCATTCTGATTTTGCCACCTACAGTAGTTTGATGATATTGTACATGTAAACTAATTTGGCAGTGTTTGATTGAAGCATAGCATGAAACATTTACATACGAGATAACAATATGGCACAATTCTTTTGGTTTAACATACCTCTACAAAAAACCCCACTATGGTTTATATGGCTCCATGTGATGTCAACATAAATCTGGTTTACATTGCTGATTCTATATTTCTTCAGTCTTGAGAGATCTGTGATTTTCTAGAATCCCCAATCTTATCCCATCCCTGATACTGACAGCTAACAGATGTCATTTAGCAACAACAAAGAACTGAGTTTTCTCTCAATTTAGATGGTTGCCTGACAGAAAATAGAATGCTGGCCAACTACATTTTAGCTTCATTATGTGAACTTTGTGTTAATATGTAATTCAATGTGCCATGAATATCCAGAATATTGGTTTGAAGAAATACACTGCTCAAAAAAATAAAGGGAACACAAAAATAAGACATCCTAGATCTGAATGAATGAAATATTCTTATTAAATACTTTGTTCATTACATAGTTGAATGTGCTGACAACACAATCACACAAAAATTATCAATGGAAATCAAATGTAGCAATCCATGGAGGTTTGGATT